GCTGGAGAGCATAGGTTCGGTTCCTGGCCTCGGTGGCCGCATTTCGATAAGGGCTTAATGCAAAGAACACTCATGTGCTTATATTTAGGTGCATTTTAAAGAAGCCCTAGAGGTCAAATATATTCCAGAGTCTCCCCACTATGATGCGCTTTATAATATTGTGGTCTTGGCATGCACGACACTAGCAATTAAATAAATTGGAACTGCTACAGGTGCCAGTAGTAGAACTTTTAATTACTTACTGTTCTTGCGAACGTGTTTTTCTGATTGCATTCATCGTGCCAGAATGACCAATGACATAGAGCAGCAGCAGCTGGTGATTGCTCCAATAATGCTCAGCCAGATCTCAAAGGGGGAAAAAAATGAATGTGGCCCCTTATATTTAAATAAAACCCAATAGTAACTATACTTTGACTATAAGGTCGAATTTCAACGTAATGTAGATGGCCCATTTTCCAGACTTGGCTGGAGCAAGCTTGTACTGTGTTGCCATTTATGAAAAAGAAATATTCATCAGCAGAGCAAAGATATGAATAAAAATACAGAGCTGAACTAAAGGGCCACAGTCAGTAAGTGAATTTTTCTTTTTAAGTGCACAGCTTGAATTTATTGGAAACATGTACAGTTACTAATAGCATCTGTAATGATGGTGTCTTTCTTTGAACAGGAACCCGCCTGTCTGCAAAAATGTGCTACAGTAGAGACGCACTTCTGGTGTTGTGTGACTTCACAAAAAGTGTGGTACGAATGGCTTGTGTCGGAGCCTGAAGTTGAAACTCTGCACAATCCGCATGGTCGTTCTCACGCCGTAGACCTGCCTCGCCTATGCTGATGCACAAAATTCATGCTTGTCTTTTTCTGGTTGTTCTTTTTTTTTTATTTTACTTTGGGGCGACAGTAAAATGAATTTTAAATAAAATCAAGAAAAATTGAAGTGTATTGCAAATTTTCATTTTGGTTCCTCTTTAAAACATGTAGTACCAGTGGACATGTTCAGACAAGCTTTTTTGATACTAAAACCAGAAGTCTCCATTACTTTATCTGCACGGTTTCTCGTCATAGCCTGTAAATATTAGCTTTTTCGTTTATAACAACCATTCCTGCTGCAATTCAATAATATAGTAATCATTTATAGTAAATGTAGCAGGGGTATACAAATAGCAATTGGAAAACCAAATGAACACCTTTCAAATAAGCCAATTTGATACCATTCCCAATTTTTGTGCCGAGCTGAGTTAACACCATGAAATCTGCTGAAATTGTGCCACGCTGCGCCGAAATGACCAACGAGCCTAATAATGTTCTCAGTTGTGCCAGTATCTGCAAGAAATAGAGGCCACATTGGCTACCTGCAGCTTGCATCGATAAACCAATATAATTAAGACGTGCAGACCTTAAACCACGTTGTGAGATGTATACTCATTAGATGAGGACACTACCAAGACACTGTCGAAAAGATAAAGTAACAACCACAACCTTCGTGACCGCAGCAAATAGCCATTGGCCAAACGACGCACCTTCAAGACAAAATGCACTGCCACAGCTACCAATACTCTCTAGGAAATACGAATTTCCTAGTCTGTAAACGCAGCTATGACATGTTAAGAATCAAAACTGGAAGCGTGTGCCACGTTTTCCGCATGCAAACTAACTTGACCAGCGCCTCTTCTATTTATATGGAATAGAGGAGGTGCCGAGTCAACGTGCAGCGCCTTGCCGTTGCCGTTGCTATGGCAACGGCACATAAAACATTTTTCTGTCTTGAAGTTGCCTCGTTCCACTGATAGATATCTGGTGCCGTGATCAGGCTAACGGGCGCACGCCGTTGTTACTTTCACTGGTTGAACGTGCCTAGCAAGCGAGCCCAGAACTTGTGCCCTGAACCTGACCCTAATGGAAGAAAAAAAGATTTTTAAAAAAAAGGAGGGGGGGGGGGGGCAGCGGTTTTGAAGTTTCTTGTCCTTGTTCTAGCAGAAAAGCATAAAAAGGTTTATAAGCGGCTGTTAACGTTATACTCACGGAACACAGCACTCTTTGTTCCCCAATTAGTCACGCATGTATACACCACACAATTATGAGTACTAGTATGATTGGCGATGTTTCAGAATGTTAATGGCAATCATTTGGAGCACTGTATGACATTCCTACAGCCCTAAAAAAAGAAATAGAACTGTGCACCAGTATTTTTTTTAGTTTTTTTAGCCACCCCTACTAGTTAGTTTTACGAACCTCACTAATTTCAAGATCGCCCATTTGGTGAATCTACATTTGAATTCACAGAATCTGTTAAAGGATTTGACAAGCGTGGCAAATGCTGACGTGGACATTTATCACTGTTTGTACAGTGGGTGGTTAAAAGTACTGCTTATATTAAAATAACAGTACCTACTTGTGTTCACTCTGCATGATTTAGGGTGATGTTGAATGCCTTGTAAATACTTTCGTTTCCTTTTCTAAATTCAAGTCTTCTTTTTATACTGCTTTCAATTTAAAAATTCGTTATTGAAAAAAAAACTTTTTTCTTGTAACCTGCCTTAAATTTGAATTTTCGAGCTTTAAAAGTTATATTTAGCTGCTTCAAATTCTACTTCCGCTGTTGCACCTCTGAATATAGAATAGCTGTTTGCACAATCATTATGAAACAGTTATCACATCAAGAGCATGATAGCATTGCTTATTAAAATGGCAATAGAATATATTAAAAGCAGATCGGCAGTTTATTCACATGACTAAATTGCTTTTGGAGCATTTGAATACAAATTTGGAGCAAGTTAGGGGCGAAAAAGTCCACTGAGTAGCAAAACTGTTCGATGGACACACACGAAAATTTTTTCCTTCAAGTATCCCAAGAAAGACTATTGTCTTAAAAAGATGGTTTTGGTATAGAGTGGGTGGCTTCGCACTGACCTGTCAAGATGGGTCTCATGTCACTGGAAGGCTGCAACTCGCCTGTTTGTTGTCAGTCGCATGTGGTTCTCGTAAACAATGAGTGAATTGTCATCCAGAGACTTTGACAGTGATTTCTGTGATTTAGACTGCATGCTGGACTCAGAGTTCACAAACCCAGCTACTGTGTTGACTTGTCGTGATAATGTCCATTGCTAGCTTGCAGATACTTGGCGACGAACTTTAAAATCAAATTACAACATTTTGTATGCATTGTCTGGCTCCAGTATATGGAGAGCGATGACAGTGCACACTATGGAAACAAAAGATGTCTCTTTTGAGGTGCCTTGAAATCGCATTAGTACTCCTTTGAGCAGCGTTCTGCAGGGGTTATAACAAGGCCAATACATTTTCCGACCACTACTCGCGACCCAGAAGCATAGCGAGGAAGGGGGACAACCCCTCTCCCCCATAAGCTTTTAATTTTTGTGTGGGTAAATATACACGATAAAGACTGCTGCGTTGCCTGGTGCACGAGTCGCATCCACACAGAAACTTCTCCTGCAACGCACGGAAGTGACGTCATGCACTTTTCTGATTGCGCATTCTTTGAATCGTTTTTTAGTATGACATGACTTCCCCAAATATGCACGAGACTTTCAGTGTGCCTCCTCATAGGCCTCCCGTCATCCAGACTTGCTGCTGCGCTGCCTGTGGTTTTGTCTACAGGCCTTTTGATATTGGATGTTTGATGACCCTTACAGAAGTGGCTATAATTACTATGATATGCTCTCTTGAGAATTAACGCACTACTTTGGCAATACACAGGAGGGCATGCTGAATTCAGATGCAGCTGGCTGCATTGGTTCCTCCAGCACACGAGTTAGGAATGTTGATCTCCATGGTTTATCAGGGTTCTGATGGCAGGAAGATGTACTGCAACAAGCATGGTCTCAGAACTGAGTCTCTGTGTGCCTAGATTTCCCGAACGGCTTGTGGTTATGTACTATCGTTGTGAAAAGAAGTGGGAGCGGCGTAAAGCATGGCTTTCGGCACAGTCGAACTTCCACATGCCTTGGCTATCACTGGGTGCGAATCTGTGCTTTTTGTCACTGTAGAGCTAGAATTTTTTTGCTCCGGCTGTCCTATGGCATTGCGTGTGTTCTGAGTACAGTGGAAAACTGGCAGACAATATTGTAACGCACAGTGAAAGAGTACACTTTAATGAAATAAAGTGGTCGGGGCGAACTTCTGCCCAAGAAACAGACAACTCAAAGTCTATCTGGCCGCTCAAGCCAACGGTCCGTTCAAAAGCATCCACCTCGTCTTTTTCTTTCTCTTGAGTCTCTCGTGAGGCTGCTGTTGTATGGCTTATGCTAACATGTGCTACTTTCTGAATTGAAGATCTGTTTTCCAAATACGCCGTCCACTATCGGGAAGGCGTAAGAATCAAAGAGCCCGCGTATTTTGAGAATGTGGCTAGTGCTAACATCCATACCAAGTAGTGGTATACAAGTTTTCTGCCATCATTTTTATAGCAGCTAGCAGCCACTGTTTCTTTTTGCCTTTGTAGTTGCCGCGAATATGCAACATGAAACCTACCGTCATCGCCTCACAAGGTAATCCGCAGACTAAGTAGCCTCAATCTGCCTGACTATGAAATTCCTATTTCCCACGAAGCTTTGGTGGCTACGGCCACGCATTTTTGTTTTGAAGTTGTGTCATCTCGCCGTTAGGTCCCCACTGCAGTCAGCAGACTAATGTGTGCGCGGCACTGTTGCTTTATCTGGTCGATCAAGTTTCGCGAGTGCCTGGCCTAATGAGTACATATCTGACACCATGTTATAGAGTTAGGGTCTGTGGTGGGCTTGGATTGATTCACAGTGTAAGAAAAATTATTTAGGTATGGACACTCCACCCACAGCGTGTCCAAATAATGTTCAAAATGTCACGCTTTAAGTCCCTCATAGGCCCCCACATTGCAGCGCTCCCTACACAATTGCAGCCGGCGTATGTACTATGTGCCGCGACGTATGTACAGCGTATGCACAGACGACAAGCTGCGCCTGACGTCCGTAACAGTGTTCCATAAGGGAGAACATTGTGGAGGCAACTGCATTGTTTGCCGCACGTGGCGTTTTTTATTCTCCAAAAACGCGACTTTCGTTTTTAGCTTAAGTTGCCTAGCATGCTTGGTGCTTAAAAAATGCAAGAAGAAAAAAATGTGCGTCTTTCTCGACACGCTCAGTCCTTTCAAGCGACCTTGTCGCAGGGTCTCTTCGCATTTGTGCCACGATACTGTGGCCAGCGCTTGTACTAAACCTGAACATTATCTGGATGCTTACAGCATGGGTTTATTGATGATGGAAATTGAAGGTGGACAACGTGGCCTTCATTTCTCGCTGAAATGAGCGCAACTGAAAAAATGTTTAGCCTGGTCGGGCATTTTGGCACTGCATGGCACAATTTCATCGTTTTCTCGGAGCAAAAATAGGGTTTGTAATAAATCGGCACAGCTGTTGCTTCCCTGCACTATAAATAACTGATCAAGAGCTATTCATGCATATGCACCCATGTACAGCTAAAAAAAAAATGGTGAAAGTTGTGCACAAGGATGCCACTGTAATGGGCATTGTGAGGAACTTCAAACTTTAGCTCTAGCTTGCACTGGCAGGTACAGCTTGAACTCTGCGGGCAGCTCATCTTCAGAATAGAGGCGGTCCGCAAAGTACACCCGCCGGATACGGCAGTTTGCATGGATCTGAAAAGTTGCAAATGAAAATTTTGCAGCGTGTTAGAGGACCTCCTTTTATACACACCTCATTATAACAAACTTGCATCTTACATGAAAATAAGTTCGTTATATCCAAAAATTGGTTATAAAGTTTATTCTTAATACTAAATCTATTGCGAGACTATTTTTCATTTACTTGGTTATATCCCAATTCGTTATATCGAGGTTTGTGTGTACATGGTTATTTGTTGACAACTCACTGAGGCAGCTACCAAACTCACCAGTATGTTAGCTGAATTTATAATCTAACACAGCTCTTTAAAATAAAAATTATAGGCTAGGCACAGAATCCTATGCAAAATGGTAATCCACAAATTCATAAATGATTGGGTCTAAAAATGTCTACTTTTTCTACAGTCTTCAAAGTGATTCTGCAAGGTGGTGGCACCGTCCTCTTGACCAAAAAATTGTTGCTTCAATTCTAGCTGTGGCAATTCGATTTCAATGGATGAGATATGCAAAAGGCCCATGTACAATGCCTGTATTCTGAAACGCTTCTTACCTCGGTGAGGAACTCAGAATTGCTTGAGGGCATTTTACATATTTTGAAATGCTCCCTAATAAGGTTCCCACAATGAGGCCCCCCTTTGTGCTCCCTCAAGTCAAGGTAGCACTAGGGCAACCTTCATTCTGTCTTACCTGGCTACTTGCACTGAAAGAGTGCTTCCCTGCAGAACTCTGACATGTACTCAACTTTTTATTTTTAATCTGTCCCTTGCACTTCTGCTTGCTATAACTGTATCCCTGTCGTATTCTCCAGCTACTATTCAAGCAAAAAACTTTGAGTAGTAGAGGGTTTGACATCCAGTAAAATGTAAGTGATAGCCTGTAAAATATGTAACATTTTAAAATTTATTATAAATATAATAAATTTTATATGCTCTAAATAGAGCATATAAGTCACTATAACAAGCTTTTAAACTTGCAAAGTTATGAATTCATGTGAGCGTAATATGTTCATTTAACCTTGAAGTAGGGCTTCGCGGCAGTGTGAATTTCTCCTGGATAAATGTATTCATGGTACAGCCCCCTCTACTGCAGTGAAACCACCTTTACAAGGGGCAACATGGGGTTTAAATAAATTCGTTCTTTTTGAATACTTAGAATTTTAAAATTTTTTGGATTCGTTTCTAAGTGAATACAGATATTCGCACATGCCTAGTATAAACTATAATCCTGTAACCCATACATTACAAAATAGAACTTTCTTTCAGTACACAAGTATCATAATTTCAAACATCATCAAAACAGCTCAGGTAAACTATACTTTATTTACAACAATAATTATTATGAAGATGATGTGTATTAATTATCAAAGTCAAACACAATGCCCTAATACCATAGTGCGGCCCATTGACTGCATCTTAATTCTGTCCCTTGAGCACATGATGCATTTGAATATAACCTGCCCTACCATGGTCCACTAAGGAAGATACCGTTCCATAAAATTAGCACTACAGCCTTTTTTCGGCGTTCTATACAGTATAATCACTAAAACAAATGACAAGTCATTGTATGACATGCATTATTCGCTGCCGAAAATTTTTTGCTGAAACCTTGCACCGACATGCTATGCAGTGAAGCTGAGTCAAAGGCAAGCTACTTTGTGGTTGATCAGATGGAAAATTTTTTTTCTCCCATAAAGGGCCGCTCACCAGGTTTGACAATTTTGAGCTGACAAGCGCAATTTGTACATGGGGCGTTCACGATCACATCTGTCAAAACATGCAATGCTACGCGCCGCGATAATGGGTCAAATTTCAAGATGAATGCTACTCTCCCTTCCTTTCGCAGGCACGCACACAGAGAATGAGGGCATGGCATACACGTGAGAATCGCCCTACGTACACGGCAGTGCTGCGACGTTGGTCCTCTACGTAGACAACTGTGCTCTGACGTTGCCAACAGTAGCACGTGACATAGCAAAAATTATTTAACACTACATGTGTAGTTTACGTCATTTGTTACTTAAATAGATGAATAAAACGAGATAAATAATGAGATGCATTAAAAGAATGTGTGCATCTTTTCTATTTTCTCCCCATGAATTGCAACGAGATGCGGGGCTAATTTGCCTGCCTTTTACATGCGTTCGTGTCCCCACAATTAGCGCGTCAAGCAGACAGACGCCTGTCCTCCAAAAAAAATTTATGGTCCTGCGTGCTCAAGCACTCATTATGCTCATTTATTCTACCGTGTCTAAGCCAGCATTTCCAAACCATCCTGCAGAAACAGGCAGTAGACCACAAAATAAGGCTGGTCAAAAAAACAACGCCGCTCGTGTGCTTGAGGGTAGGGCTTGTTCGGGCACATCATTGACCTCTTGGTCAGATGCCGGAGTAGGGAAGAGATTTGGCTTGCGAAGGATACGCGAGAGCGGCAAGGGTTTCGAGCTCACCTCCTCTCATCCTTGTTTTGCGCTGCTTCAAAAAAAAAGAAAACAGTTTTCACAGCTTGTAATGAACCGATTGAAAAAGTTTTGTGGCATAATGCTCCTTATCGGACACACAACAACCTCCACAGTCTAATTAAAATTTGTTATGGGGCCTGGTGAGTGACCCTTTGAAGAGACTAACAACTGGTCCAAAAGCGTGATTAGACGCTGGTAGAAATGAAAAGACCATGAAAATATTCACAGATTTCAGTATTCTTTTCGCATTGTGGATAAGATTTATATTTTTACATTGCACTTAAAAGTAGCAAAAACCATCATGTGGCGCTGCCTAGCGGAAGAGAATTGAGGCTGAAATTATGAAATATAGAGTCCATCACTTTGCTGAACGTAGTCGCGTAGACAGATGCTGTCAAGCGTGCCAGTCCTCAAAATTAAAGTATGGATATTATTACCTAGCCTCGCTCAATTCTGTGCTGCTTACAACGTAAACGTAGTTGCACGGTGAAAAGTGGCTCTGCCGTCCCGACCTCCAATGGACCAAATCGAGCTGTGGTGCATGTGCATGGAGGGCACACATGCGCAGTAAACCACCACACGCTCATTGTTTTCAGCATGCGAGTATACGACTTCATATTCACTAGAGAAAAAAAATCTAGAATAAACAAACATTTCGCGGCGTTCTCAATTTAGAAATTCTGTGATTAGACTGACTGACATAGAACAATAATTTATGATGTAGAACAACCTCGCCATACAAACAACCACCTTAAATTGATAATAAAAAAGTTAATTGAAATAGTTTTGTTAGTTAATCAATTCTGAGTGGGCTAATTAGTGGCAAAATTTTTCTGTCTCAGCTTAGAAATTGTATTGAAAGACGGCAAGTGCCTAACTATTACAGTTTTTTAAGGAAAAATTTGTATTGCTTAGAAATACACCTTGTATACATAAATGAATTCCATGGCAATTACCACTAGTTATGTGAGCCTAAATTATTTGCTGTCATCAGCCAAGGCAATCAAATAATGAGTTCCCAGGCACATTAGGCCTACAAGCTCTCAATTCAGCACCCGATTTTGAAATCTGGCTATTTTCTATGAGACGTTGTTCGCACAAGATGGGGAACATGATAGTCGACACCAGTGTTTATAAATAGCATCATCAAGAAACCAGGCCAGCTCGCTCGTCACTTCTCAACAAGAGTCATCGCTTCAACGAGTGCCATCATGTTTGCTGGCCTAAAACTATTTATGAAGGTGTCAGTGCTGCCTGTTGTATTCGAGAAATGGTGTGCCCTATGCAAAAGTCAAGTTGTTCGAGGTATAGCACATCCAGGACGGGACAGAGAAGAAGAGACAGAAGAAGCCCCGTCCTGGATGCGCTATACCTCGAACAACATGAATAACCAACAAGCCCGCCGTGCAACCTTAGTCGGCAAAAGTCAAATACAGCTTGCATCTCATGCATCCCCTGCAGTCTGAATAATCATGCAGCTAACAATAGGTCATAATTAACGTGCCTCCACACACCAGCACACCACATATGGAGTTATGTAGAACATGGTCATGAGAGAGAATGTGTATGAAAAGGTACTAATTTTGTTGTGTACAATTGAAAACTCACTTATGTGATTATTTGTTGTAAGAAGAGGGTGCTTACCTGCACTCTCAGTGTTTCCACATAGCTTGTCCCATAGGCGCGGCGTGTGAAGTCAGCCAAGTTGAACTGGATTTGGTTCCAGCCTTCATCCAAACGCATTGGCATTGTACAGATAAAGGGCTTTACCCTAGTTGTGCTTTGGAAGTTGCTCGCTCGGAAGCGCCGACGTACATTCTTGTCATCCAAGATCTGTATGATAAGATGCAGGCTCAATTGAGGCTGCTTTAAGGTGTCAACTCACAGTGACAAGGTTTATTATCCGTAGTCTATCTACAAAGTGTTTAATAGATATTTCTCAAGTTACCTAGTCAAAGGTGAATTCACTGCAAATGTCATCACTCCCTCTCCCCCCTGCCCAAAAAATTACTGTATACTTTACATACAACCTACACTACGATTGGCAAGGTTTCTTTCTTTTTTCCCATGAAAATACAAGAGCCCCCCAACCTATGATGCAGCTTGCACTACATATGAGGGCCATTAAGTACTGCTTGCAACAATGTATGCACTTACTAGCAGCATTTCCATAGCTAGCACATGTCAACCTAAAAAGGTCTTTGGGGCAGCACATTTAAGTATTCGCAATAGAACGCAAATAAAATTGTCTGCAGAGGTCCCACCACTGCAAAAGTCAACATGAACCAACTAGCCCCTTTCACTGCATTGCCACCACTTTCAAACAAGCAGTTAATTGATAGCATACTTTCACATCTAGTAAGCGCTTTCTTTCTTACCTTAAGTTAAATATAGTCAACTTCAGATGGCATGGTTTAATATGCAATGGTGCTTAGAGTTCTTTCATATGATCCCAAGCAAACACAACTCTACCCACTGTCTAACTGCAAGACTTCAGTGCTCTCCCATAACCTCAAGTGGTTAAGGTGTTAAAAGAAAATTTTTATGAACATTACAGAGCTACTTGAATTACAGGACAACTGTCGTATAAAAAAAGTTAGAATTGAGTGATTTCACTCAGAAGTTCCTGCACTGACTTGCCGTTATGCTATAAACTGGTATAGAATATTCTCGATGCTACAATAGGAGAAAAGCAAAAGCCGCTTCTCAGTATGCCATCTTCTGCAGCCAATTCCAATTCGAGAGGCTGTCTGTAGTCTGTGTTCTGTGCAATCGACACTTGAAGTTTGTTTTTTTATACTGTAAGTCTATTGCAAAACACCTTGGAATACTCAACATAACTAAAAGTCGCGATCCCTTCATTCCATTGGTATACACCTTCCAACTATGCCTGTAGTCACAGCAGTTTCTCACATGTTTTTCACCATTAACGAACTTGCTGCATGCCACACTGTCAAGTACACCATCACATACTTAACCTTGTTCTCTCACATCACTGAAACTTCATGCATGGGCGCAGTAAAACGCTGCACACATATTTTCCTTTTATTCGATGTAAAAATATCATCAGTATTCATCAAGAAGCCAACAAAGAATGCAGTGCAAGTGTATCAAATTGGTGTGCTTAAAGATGGCCGTCAAGACTTCTTGAACATGGTCCAAAAATGCTGCCAATTGATAGTTGAGGGTATTGTGAACATGCGAGGCAAATGCATGATAGCACAGCACATGGCATAAAATTATCCAAAAGCACATGGACTCTGTGTCTGGCTGATTCCAGTATTTTGAGCTGCACACTTAATATGGCCGCCTCAGTGTACTGCGACAAGCCGGCATCATGTTCTATAGCGGTAGAGTTACCCCAGTCACACTGGAAGTGAGCAGCACATGTCAAGAAAGTGCTCAAGGTGATGTATGCTAGTGTGCAAATATGGCTTCTTGACCCTTGGCCAGTAGCATGCCAGAGGTACATCATTTGGGCCTCAAGGATTTTTATGATTTCAAGTTATGGAAAAAAGAAACCTAATCAAAATATTTGCATACGGTGAAGTATAATAGACAAATACACTGGCCACTATGCCCGGGACACACAATTTTTTGTATCTCATTAAAAAAGTGCCCTGTTTCGTGGCATGTTCTACATTTTTAGCATTGAAATCTATCGTGTCACAGAAGTATGGAAGTGCTGAGGTTTCAACTCCAATTTCAGGGCAGTATGGACATTATTTTATTATAGATTAATTTATCTACACAAAAATAACTGAAAACAGTGTTTGGAAGAAATGGTTGACCTGTATATACCAACTAACATAGGTTTTTAGCATTTATTTAATGGACCTGTATTTGTAAGGTACACTTTTGCCTCACTGAGAACTTCATAGAATGTGCATGGAGGTCTTTCTTTGACTTGCAAGTATCTGTATAGACAAAACAGACATTGACTATCCAGTATCTAAAAATTCAAAACCAACCTCGCATGTCAAAAAGTCCAGCTGAGCTTTAATGTTCAGCTGTACTCGATCGCAACCCAAGAAAAATATATATATATCCACGCATTTCCACAAATCAAACCATGGCAAGTGGGTGAAGCACCGGGAGAGTTAAATGACCTGCCCACTTGTGCATGTATGTGAGTGACAATGCGTGGCTACAGCATATACGTACAACGGTTTATTGGTCTTAACTCATAGCTGTGTTAAAGGAGCCCTCGAACACTCTTGAAGCACCTGTTTTTTATTTGTGGTTTGCATAGACCGATAGCTGGAGGTAATTTTAGCATTGGTCTAAGTGCAGATATCATATGATTTAGTATTTGAATCACAAAATAAAGTCACCACATCACCACGTAGCGGCGCTCGTCAGAACTTTGCAGGGCGGAAATGGCGCCAGAAGGTTGCCACCACATGATTGGATAAATGTAACGCTAGAAGCGATCGTGGTGCAGCGTCAAAACTGAGCTTACTAATCTGTTTCATGTTTTGTCTCAGTACTTTTTCATCAGGCCCTGAACAAACGCGGCCACAACAAGAAAGATCATTGCAACTACAAAGCACGACAGAGACGCTGGCTGCCATTTCGCCACTAAATTTTTGGCTGGCGCGGCTCGGATGTCCATACGAAAGACCTCTCTCTCTTTCTTCCCTCTTCTTGCTTTTGTGAGTTTGTGAGCCGTCTCTTTCCGAACGTGCGCTGTTGAAGGGGTGCAGTGCACCATTGTTGTTCATCGGGCGGCTCACCAAATGGCGGGTCAACACTTCACTGAACTGGTCACTGCACAAGTTCCTTTCTCAGAATAAGAGGAGGGAGTGACTCGGAGTTTAAAAAAAAAAAAACTGCAGAAAATACCTCGCTTCAGCAAGGCGTCAGGCACAAGGTCAACAATACTTTGAAAAAAAAAAACAATAGGTGCGAGCTTCCCACACGTAGGCGCTTTCAGCTTATTTCATTGGGGCAGCCTTCCGACGTTATGAGTGAGTGAAATCGAGTCAAGTGACAGCGGGAGAAACGAGTTGAGGGTCATCATTTTTTTTCTTGCATTTTAAATTTTCTAAGTCGAATAACATCAGACTGTGTTCCGTTGTCCCTGCCGTTTTTGCTCCGTTAGTCTGTCTGTACTTATTATACACAACCCACAAATAAAACATGGGGGGTTGAATAGTGTAAGAAGGCCCTTTTAAGTTCCGCATTTCGTTTTAATTTCGTTCTTACTGCTTTGTGATCAATGAAATGCCAATGGTTCATTGATGGTGTCTAGCCTGAAGTTGGCAAAAACAAGGTCTGTGCACGTTTTCTTTATATTATAGTAGTGAAGGAGCACAGTACTCATCAGTAGTCTCTTGGTCCAAAGTGCGAGCGCTGAGCACAAGCTGTGGATGATGAGCCGGTTCGACTGTTTCTGGCTGTACCGGCTGTTTGCCTGCTACCAGACGTTGCTAATAAGCACCCCTTTAAAGTGGTCGGTACTTCAGTGGTTGGCAAATACGACAGGCACAAAAGCTGTTGAGCCACTTCTTCCCATACATATTTTTTTTATTTGTGCCAGCAAGGTGTTGTCACCACCAACGATCAGGACAGCGAGGGAGTCACCTGCTGTCGTCGACCTCGGAACTGAGACATGTTGTTTGCGAAGTACTTCGAAGCTCTGGCACAACATCACAAGTTTTGACACAATACTTGAGTCCTCCGCCAGCAATATTTGAAAGGCATCATTGTCTATGCCTTTCAAGATATGCCTGATCTTGTCTTGTTCAGTCATTTCAGGGTTCACACCATTCAGGCGCCTCCATAGATCAATCACATCTTTGATAAAGCTCGTGCCTTTGCGCATGTCCGCGTAGGCACCGTTCGGCCCGAAGCTTGCATACTGTGGAGCGACCAAACACAGCTGCAAGGATGGTCTTGAAAGTGGCCCACGAGGAAAATTCAAAATTGTGGGTAGTGAAACACAGGCTGGCGAAGTCTTTGAGATAAAATGGGACGTACTCAGATTTCTAGGGGTCGTCCCACTTGTTGCCGGCACTCACCTTTTCAAACAGCAGCAGCCAATCCTCCACATCTTGGTCCTCTGTGCCGCTGAAGAAGGGGGGATCGTATTGGCACAGGGTGGTTGGCATCATGACAAGTGAGGATTGGGCTGTGCTTTGCTGAACAGTGCCTTGCTCGGTGGTCCGATCAGGCATTGTCAGCGCAGTGGGCAGCTTCCGGCTTCAAAGTTCAAGAATTAACTACCCAGCACCTCCACCACTTTGAAAGGTGGTTTATCAGCACTGTCTGGTCGCAGGCAGGCAGCCGGTACAGCAAGAAACAGTCTAATGAGCTTGGCGTGCACAGCTCGTGCACAGCGCTCATGCTTTGCACCAAGAGACTGACATATTGGTCACCGCCTTGCTCTTTCACCACTACAATATTTACGTATTTGTATAGCGGCAAGTCTTCTAGGTACTTTATCCAGATTGAAGGTTTCCTTTCTTCGCTAGGCTGGAGTTGTACGAGGGCTTGCTTATCAGCTTTCACTTTATGAGCACGTCGATGGTGGTGGTATCGGGTATGTTTCTAAGAAGGCATTGCACTGTTTTCTGAACTTCTATCGGGATGTTGACCACTTGACCTTTTATTTCGTACTGCTCGTTGTCTCGAGTTAAACGGCCAGTGCTCATGAACGGGAGCTACAAGCACAAGTTCTGACCCATCATGCACTGCTTTTATTAACAACCAAGTCATGCAAACTACGGACAAACATTCTATGCGGAACATGCAAAGCCACCTTTTGCAGTGCCTTAAAAAATAACACAGGAGAGGAAAAAAAAACTGGGCGCATTCGAGCTTAGACTCCG